TGGTTCTTTGTTTAAAATTACTGTGTTTTTAATAGATATACTATGGTTTTTTTGAGTTGCAATGGTGGATAAAAGAGTGATAAAAGAGTAGCCCAAGAGTTGGCGGTGTGTGGTGATGACTAGCTGCCTTCCCTCTATTCTTTCTTTACTAAATTAGGGACGGCTAGCGAAGATAGCCCTCGTGTAGCTTTGCGCGAAATTCAAACCAAAACCAATTGGGAGAAAAATTCGAAACAAACAAAGTTTGAAAAATGATTCCAATATTGATTTTCATGCTCCAGATGGATCACTGCCGTGTAGTTTAAAACATATTCCAAAGCTCATTTGTCGATATTAAGTGCTTGAAACGTATTAAGTCCAATATTCTATTCTTGAGTTTACAGTAAAATAGAACTGCTTTTTAATGTTTTTATTCAAACTCCTTGGTTTTAGCAAATGTCACTTTAAGAGGATCTTCCGGTAAGATATCTCTTATCTTCATCTCGGACGCCTTCTGGCGGACAGTTTGTGAAGTTATTGTTGGATTGAGTATCACAAATTTTGAATTTTTATAGTCAATTTCGGTTGCATTCTATTAACATTAATTCTGTATCAATGTAATGTCTTTTCTATTCGGTTGGATTTTATCAATTTTAATTCTATGTCAATATAGGTCTTTTGTTTTAGCTGTGTTCATTTGTTGTTCAGAGCAAGTTAACCAATTTAACTGCTGTGTATAGAAGCGTCGATAATGCGAAAAATTAATAAGATTTCAGATCAATTCAATGAAGTTTTAATTGATAAATCTTTCAACAGCACGAGTAGTAGTGTGAATATAATTACAAAACTGCCACGAAAAGCCAACACTAAAGTTTCCGTTAACAAGGGGAGGGGGGGGGGAGTGAAAGAGTTGAAGGACCACGAGAATATCAGCAGATTATTACGTAACCTGAGATTAAAGTCAATATTTCTGGTTTCTATTGTTTTATTAAGCGGAAGTCTTGTAAAAAAAAAAAATGTCCAACCTCACGCATTCCCTTGTAAACAGGAACTACAGTCATTCGCCCCTTTACTTTGAATGGAACAGATGTAATTAACAAAAAGCTAAGATTATTATGAACTACGACAGATAAGTACGTTGTTCACTGAGTGAGAAGCACGAGATAGGTCGCATCAAGTTA